CATACAGCAGGGTGTCGCTGTGGTGGGAAAAAGTTAGAAATATATCTTTTAAGGTACTATCATCTTATATAAGTAACTTCTAACATAGAAACTTTCTCTACTCTCATTCTGTTTTTAAATATCTGAAATAGAAAATTACTTTTTAAGCAAAAATAAATATTTTAGGAGAATATGTAATGTGAAAGATTACATTAGTCACTGTAATCAGATTGGTTTGTTTTCTGTCAGTGGTGAGTGATATGAACCAGTCTTCTGAGGTTTTATTTTACCATTTGCAAAACCAACAAGTGACATGAAACCAGTATGAAAAATGCTACTGGATCTGTTACAGCGAGCCAGAGCTGCTTCCTGCCGTGCTATAAATAGTCCCCATCCTCTTTGGTTGAGCACGCACAGCAGGTCTGTCCCAGTCAAACTCTCTCAGCTTGTCTCCAATTAGCATGTTTACAATTTTCCTATTCGCATAGAGCCTCAAATGAGAAAATTATTTGTATAAATTGAATTGCTTATACTCAAACTGATGAAAGGGGGATTTATTATTTCACTAAAGGAAATAACAAATTCTCTTCCCCACCAAGTGTGGTGAAAACTTTTCAGGATATAAGAAAATTATTGTTTCATCTAAGCTTTGATTTTTGGTATTAAGCAGAGAAAAGCATTAATTTGTAGCTAAATTAACGGATATAGCAGCAAAGGTCAGCCTAAGATGTCAGGAAGGAAGTGTTTTTTAAGACTATAAAGCCTCTTTCCCACTGAATAGAGTGGAATATCCCAGATTTGAATCCACCTGCTAACAATCAGCAATTGGCTCCCTTCCCGTTAGCAAAAATAACCTGGGTCTAACCCCACACTGCAAGCTGCGCGGCTTCTGTCCCCCCGCCGCTGTATCTCTGGTGACACCATCACGCTGGCTTAGCTTTGATGATGTCACCAGCGTGACTGAATCAGGAAAGTAAACAATGAAGAGCAACATGTACAGTAAGGAAGCCAAGGCGAACTAAGTGTTATTGTTTCACTCTTTTATCTGTCTGAATCCCCCTCACCAGCGCTGCCCCATGCTTGTTAGATCTGACTCGACTGGCATGATGTGTTGACGTCTACCATTGCGCCCAATGGTATCTGGTAAATTAGAGGGTCAACCTGGGTCTGGTACGTCGGTTTGCCGAGTCATTTGACCCGGGTAGACACCAGTCAGTGAGCTGTTTCCACTGCCACTTAAAGCCAATTGTTCCCGGGTTTAAATGGGTTTTTCAGCCAGTGTGAAAGGGGTTTTACATAGAACTGTCAACAATGGGTGGTTAGGTTGCTTGAGGACCCAGATGCAGAGACGAGTGAAGCTGAGATGAGTTCTGACAGATTTATTTGAATAACTCAGGAAACAGAGGTAAAAATCCAGAAATCCAACTAAAATGTTAAACAAACCAAAAACCATGGAGACAACAGGGGAAAACGAGCCTGAGGAGCCGGGGAGAGACGAGCTGAGGAGACAAGTACAGCAATGACAAGGAACCAGCACTGAGTGACTGCAGAGGTGGAGTATTTAAGGAGAACAGAACAAAGGATGGACTAATGAGCTGAATAAGGAGCAGGCGTGGTTGGAACTGGCAAGAGGGAATCCAAGGGGAAAGAAAACAATCACAGGGGGGCAACAGAGAGTAACTAAAGAATGCTTGAATATGATGGAAAATAAATCAATAAACAAAACAACTGATAACAGAAAACTAAAAACTCAGAGTCACAACAAATGGGAAGAACCATAACAAGAACTGTTCCACTTTGCTAAATTTGAGACTGGGTGGAGGAGAGGAAATAGTTCAGTCCTGTACAAAAGGATATAGGGAGGCTGATTTCTGTCTCCAGCAGAAAATAAGTTTGAAACAAAGACCTAAAGGAAACTGAATGAAGATCTAACCAAACATAGCTATCTGGACTGTAGGAGACCATACAAACCCCACATACGAGGGCAACCAGTCTTTATTTTACCTTTTGATTTCTTTATAACTGTGCATAATCTAGTTACCAATTAGACCACAGAAATAGGATGATATTTTGCAGGATTGTGGAGTTTTTTTCCCCTATTTTATTCTTCTTATATGAACAACAGAATAAAGGAACTTTTCCCAATGGGGAAACATCTAGGTCACAATGCACGAGCCCTGTAAATCCATCCATCTAGTTAATCTATTCATTCATTGTCTATACCTGCTTATCCATGCAGAGTCATAATAGGGTAGGCGCCTATTTCCGAGGATCATTGGGATAGTACACCCTAAATGGGTCACCTGTCCATCACAGAGTAACAAAGTGCAAGCAACCATGCACGCAAACCCTCATAGCCAAGTAGAACTTGGAAAGAGCACTGAGACCAGAGTACCCTGGGTACCCTGGCCAGAGTGCCCTTAAATCCTCTTTGAATATTTCTCTCTCATTGTTCCTCTGTTTCTATCCATGAAATAGGATGTTTTCTCTATATTTTCTTTGAAAAGTATGACATTTTTAAACAAAGTTCTGAAGTGTCATGGCATTTTAAGGCAGCCAGTGAGGTTCTCTGTGGTTTAAATCATCAAGCCTGTATGAACCGATTAAAATCATTAAAGTGGATGTGGTGATTAAAATGGCTGTAACAGCCAAACTTAAAGGGGTAATAGAATGATTCTACAGGGTATTTGGTTCTGGTCCTTAAGGTCTAAATAGGGTGTGTAACATTAGCCTCGTGAGACCATCCTGATCTCGCAAGCTTTCAAGATTTCACTCGCTAATCAGTCTGGAGACTCTCCATTGAAGAAAATTTGAGTTGTGTCGTAACGAGAAGCGCGACAGTTCAGTCTAAAGAACATGGCGGCTTCAGCCGATGAAACTAGCGTTAGCGTGGCTATCGAGCAAGTTTTATCGGAATTACAGAGTATTTCTTCACTGAAAGAAGAGTAAAACACTGCTCTGAGTTCATGATGTTTTTGCTCTTCTCCCGACTGGTTTCGGCAAGAGTTTGATCTATCAATTGGCTCCTCTTCTCCTCTATTAAAGTTTTTGTTAATCAAGAGTTAACATAATTGCAAATATTGTACATATTTTATTTTTTTAAGTTTTTGCGGTACTAAAGGCGGGGGTTACCAATCTACTCGCTCTGGAGAGCAGAGTTCTGTGCTTTTGTTGTTGCCAAAGGCTCCAGTAGCAGAAAAAAGTCACTAGATTTGGCGCTAATGGCTTTTTTGTAATAAAAGTGCTAGAGGGGTCTGAAAAGTCGTTAAATTTAGTGACAGAGCGCTAAGTTGGCAATACCGCTCTTCTAGCCGTTTGTGTTCAAATGGTTTGCTGCTGTCTACTTGGACCTTTCTGCACATGCACAGCAAATGGACTGATCCATGGTGGACACTGAAGGGGGGGGCATGAGAAACAAGTACAGAGCTCGATGTTAACTATTGCCCAATCTCCCGGGGCAAGTAGTTTTTATTGTCGAGAGAGTACAGATTTCATTGCATTTGCCCGCTGGGCAATGATCACAAAAAAATAATAATTTATCGCTCAAAATTACTTTAAAAACACCGACATTTGATGAAAACGACCCAGAAGCGTTGCCGGCGCCATTTTTGTTGTTTTGTACACTTTCTCGCGTGATTTGAAAAAGCCGGGTGATTTTCCGCCAGATGGCGACCTAGCGGTAATTTTGATGTAGTTACCAAAACGACAAACAAGCTACATACCGCCATCATATGGCAGTCTTCTGTACAGTGATGCAGGTCATACATTAAAAAATGTTCATTAAATTTTTTTCTCTCAGACATTGGTGAGGTGCATTTAAATATTATAGAGCTAAACATGTTAAATTGGTGACCTGTAATGTTATTATTATTGTCTTGTTGCTGCATTTATTTTGTCAGGGAAAACTAATCCTGAGTCAGTTAAAAGTCAGGGAATTCTGAAATGATGTCAGACTGTGGAAACCCTGTATAAAATAACTATGTATAATGATTCTCTAGAAAAGTCACATTATACTAATAGTATTATCTTGCATGAACATACCGTGACTCTAAAATAAAAGTTATTAATTTGTGACATTGACTTCTGTCTTGTGATTTATCTTAAGTTTTTAACCTGTCAAGTTTTTTTTTTAGATTTTTAAAATTACAATTTATATTTTTCCAAGCACACGACAGTTTAAAGCAAAGTTTAGTTTGAAAAGAATGTGCAGGAAGGATTGAAAAGCATGTTAACATGGTAATGTAGGCTTGAGTTCATTATCTGACGCATGAATATACACACCAGGAACCTGGAAACTTAAAAAATACTGAATTACAAAAAACATTTAAAAAACAAACATGTTTCATTGATATATATACAAAAATGAATATTAGGAACTATATTTATCAATTATACTGGGCAAGTAAAAATTGTTTCTGGGCAAATGAAATGTGAAAGTCACTTGCCCAAAGGGCAAGTGGTAAAAATTTAACATGTAAAAGGAGTTTTATGGAGCCCTCAGGAACTTGGGGAACTGCCTAGTTTTGCTAATTGTAAATCCACCCCTGACTCTGAATTAATTTGCAGTCAGGGAGGAGATTTTTAAAGATTTTTCACTGTATTTTCTACTCAAATCAGTTCATTTGATTCTTTCCATGGAATCACTTTTCTCTGCAATTAGCTCATGACACTAGGTGGCATCCAACAGCTGCTGTAAGGGATTCTGACCAGCCCCTCTGCAGCCAGACGTGCCTGCGCAGATTTAGCCAGCAAAGCAGGGGATTTCCTCACACAAAGTGCTGCAGAAAGGAGATGCGCTTTGACAGCAGGTGTTGCAGTCAATAAACCAGGACAGATTCACACAGAAACAGACCCGAAAAAGAGACTAAACGATGAAGCTGGACGCCCCCATAATATGCAAATCCCAAACCCCCGCACAGCTGCTTGCAGAGCAGCTATTCCTTGCGCCGACTCCGCCCCCCGTACGTAACCAAATCAGTGACGTAGGCATGCCTTACTTTCCTACTCTCTGCAAAGCATCATCAAAATCACCATCCATCAAGAATCGCTTCACCCCCCCTTCCCCATCTCCTTTCTCTCCCCCCCCCCTGTATCTCCCTCCTCCTCCTTCGTTGTCTTTTAAATGTAACTTCTGAATGATCGGGAGAGCAGGGAGCGTCTGGATAGCCTGGTCTGGTGACTCCATCTTTGCTGAAGGATCTGCACGCACGGCAACATTCTGCTCATCAAAGCTGGACGCACAGATGAGAGGGGATCCATTTGTGGAATAACGTCGCGCGCCCGTGAGGATTTCGGCTCTTTTGATTAATTTGATTTTGTTTTATTTTTTAACCTCCTGGATGTTGCAGCGCATCACATCGGTTTAAGTGAATCCGTTTGATTGGATTTATTGGACTCTTTATTCTAAGCCTCATAGTATTATTGTTATCGGTTATTGGTGATCTAATGATCTCTCTTTTAAAATGTCATTTTATCAAATAATGTCGAAGTTTATTTGAGGTATTAAAGCCAGAAGAGCGGTGCGCGTTAGAAATTAGGTTTTTAAAAGGAAAGTTTCGTGCGCAAAGTTTTGGAGACGGTCGGTATGGCTATGGTAGCGTGGAGAAGCACGGAGGGCGTCGGGGACTCCCTGGGGACTCTCTCCTCCCCGGTGTCCCAAGTGGCCCCTCTGTCTCTGCCTGGAGAAATGACGGGACACATGAACGCATCCGCCGCTCTGGAGATCCCACAGGCAGGAGCGGCTCAGGCACCACCGGCGCCCAATCTATCGGGGACCCCAGCCGCGTCCACGTCCACCAGCACCCCATCCACCAATAACAACAACACGTCCTCCTCCTCCTCTTCCTCCTCTTCCATGGACAAACAGCAAAGCCAGCAGATCGAGTGCATCGTGTGCGGGGATAAATCCAGCGGGAAGCATTACGGACAGTTCACCTGTGAGGGATGTAAGAGCTTCTTCAAACGCAGCGTGAGGAGGAACCTGAGCTACACCTGCAGGGCCAACAGGAACTGTCCAGTGGATCAGCACCACCGCAACCAGTGCCAGTACTGCCGCCTCAAGAAATGCCTCAAAGTTGGCATGAGGAGGGAAGGTAGGGCCTGCTGGTAGACATCCACACATAATGCTCACTTTATTTCATTCTGGACTCTGATATATATATACAAACAACTTTAAGAGCTTTAAAAAGTTTGTTTAGTAATTATTTTAATTTTCAATAGATGATTAGCGTTTTTAGATTATTTCTCCCAAACTTAAAAAAAAATCCCAAAACATTAAGAGATTTTAGTTGTTTTGTATTTTTTTCCCTAAAGATTTCTTCAGTCTATTTCAAAAATAGCATTTTATTCATTTGGGAAAAAAAGAAAATAGGTTGAATCAGTTTATTATTATTTCAGAATTGAATATTCTCAACTTTTGTTTAAACTAGCATTTGTTAGCATTAGTTAGGCTGTGATGTTATGTTCGCATAATCTGTGTCTAAAATATATTATCATGCTTTTGCATCATGTTAGATATTGTTTATGTTTTTAAAAAAAATGTATCTTGTATTTGTCAGATTTTAATTTTAAACTTTAACATCCTTATGTAAATGCGTCCTGCTTTAATGTGAAGAAAACTTTTCTTTAAAAAATATATTTTAGAGCTGTATTTATACTTCTTGGGGGGAAGATACTACAAATGGTAACAACTTTTGTTTCTAATATAAATCTCCTCAATGCAACATTATTGTACTGTAGCATTTGTTAGTTATTTTGACTCTAAAACATTGGATTAAATGTATTTGATTTATTTTAATTTGCTTCTAAAATATTACTTATTAATTTTTGTGATACAGCCAGTAGAGCTAATCAGCAGAGGTGTGCAGGTTAATAATGTCCAAGCTAAGATAATGAAACATGTTCCATGTGCTATCCGTGCTGCCTTCACGGGCAGCTGGGTAAAACAAAGACAGAACCTATCAATGTAAGACATTTTTATTCGCCGGTGAGACTGGAATATTTTTGAATAATTTGCATTGTTTATGTGTTTTAAACTTTAAATAGCGTGCCTGGAAAAAAATAAATGAACAAAAACATTATTTATGCTTAGGCCTTTGTGTCTACATCCATAATGTAAGCAGGTTGAAGGCCCAGCTGTAGACCAGCATCCTGCTGCTATGCTAAAACTAGCTGCACAACATGAACTCAAATAGTCTTTTTTAAATTAGGATCATTTTCAAATCAGATGTACAAAACCTTAAATATATTTGTTTGTTCATGTAAGCTAGAATAAAAAGAAAGTTTTCTATTTCTACTCTAGTTTATGACGAGGTTACACTAAAAAAATGTATTTACTTAATCCTACTTAGTTACTTTATCACTATTGTTTTATGTTCCACATTGTTAATTTAATTAACTAAATATGATAAATTAAATGTTAAAATCGGTTGAATTATTTGTTTCAGTGTATTGAGGTTTAGGCCTATAGAAACCAGAGAGCGCAGGCCTTCATATAATATGGATTTTTCTACATCACCAATCTATATGAGATATTTCTGTCCAGAAGCTCTTAAATTTAAATGTTGGTAACTTTTAGTGATAATTAGTCATTAATAGACAGATGTTGCTCTAACAGAGGAGGCTCCTTCTTTAAATGTCAGCCTCATCGCTTTAACAGCTGGATGTGATTTATCTGCTGCTTCTTCTTGCAGCCGTCCAAAGAGGCAGGCTGCCCACGCAGTCCTTCCACGGCCAGTTCGCGCTGACCAACGGAGACGCCCTGCAGTGCCACTCCTACCTGTCGGGGTACATCTCTCTGCTGCTGCGGGCTGAACCCTACTCCACCTCCCGGTTTGGCTCCCAGTGCCTGCAGAACAACAACATCATGGGCATAGAGAACATCTGCGAGCTGGCGGCGAGGATGCTATTCAGCGCCGTGGAGTGGGCCCGGAACATCCCCTTCTTCCCGGACCTGCAGGTCCCAGACCAGGTGGCCCTCCTCCGCCTCACCTGGAGCGAGCTGTTTGTGCTGAACGCCGCCCAGTGCGCCATGCCGGTCCACGTGGCTCCGCTGCTGGCCGCCGCCGGTCTGCACGCGTCCCCGATGTCCGCAGACCGGGTGGTGGCCTTCATGGACCACATCCGGGTTTTCCAGGAGCAGGTGGAGAAGCTGAAGGTGCTGCAGGTGGATTCAGCGGAGTACAGCTGCATCAAGGCCATCGTGCTTTTCACCACAGGTAAATATTCTCCTTCTGCACAACTGTTTGTTTTTTGATAAAATATAATATTTATTTATATTATTCCTTTTTTTTTTTTTTTAGAATGAGTAATTAAACAATTTATTAGACATTACTACAATCGTTCTGAAATAAACAGAATCAGTTGATTCAAAAAAATGAATTGATTTATTTGAATCAACTGGAATATTTAAAGCTATGCAGTTATTTTCAACGTTGCTCTTTAAGGATACACTGAAAAAAATAATCTAACAGTTTTTAACATTTACCTAATCACATTTAGTTACTTTAACACAATTATTTTATTCCCTCCACTGCTAACATGAAACAATTGTGTAAAAGTAACTAAATATGATCAAGTAAATGAGAAAAACGGTCGCATTATTTTTTCAGTGTACTTTCTTTTTTCTTTTTTTTAGATAATTAAGCTTTTTTAAGATATCTAAAACATAAAAACCCAACAGACTAAAGAATAACAACTTTCAACATGATCTCACGACCTGAATCATTATAAAATATCCAAATGTAAAAAATCCAAACTTTTCATTCTGACATGCTTTAGAGTCTCATTTCTAAATCTAAAAGGTAATCTATAGAGTAAAAGATTAGGGTGATGCCTTGGAGGCCTTCCAACCTGAAATACTTGGAGCTCATCACTAAAGATTGGGGCAACTTATCAAAAACATGCAAAGGTTTAGTCTGGAGATATAAGAAGTGTTAGATTGCTGCAAAGATTGCTTTATATATATATATATATATATATATATATATATATATATATATATATATATATATATACACACACAATCTAACATATATATAAATATATATGTATGTATATGTATATATTTAAAATAATTCTATATAAACTTTATATATATAAACTTTATATAAAACTAAATTACTTAGTTAATATATTTGTATGTGTATATATATATATATATATATATATATATATATATATATATATATATATATATATATATATATATAGTTAAACTAAACTTGTTAATGGAATAAGGATTACTTGATATCAAATTCTAATGCGTTTAAATTAAGTTGTGCTTCTTATAGAGTGATGATATTAAAATAGTGTTTTTCTTTCCTTAATTTATCTTGCTTTAGCAACCTGTGAAGGTCTACCATGTTTTATTTGTCAATTTAAGATTAATGAGGAAATAAGAGAACTCTGAGAAGCTCTTTGCAGCATCCAAAAAGGATTTCTAACTATAAAAGTCAAAATATATCTCTGTAAATCTTCTTGGAGGTTCTGTTGTTTGGGCTTCTATATTTTTTTTTAAATACAGTTATTTTATGCTTATTCTATCACAACAATGATCGTTCTTTATATGTATTTATATGTGTGAGTGTGTGTGTGTGTGTACAATGCTTTAATTTGTGCACAGTAAAGTCTTAGTTTTGATGGAGCCTTTTGAGCATGGATGATGCCTGAGCTGCAGGATTGAAAGAATGAGCAGCAGCAAAGTGAAAAATGAAAGAAGCTCCTCTATCTAGGTCTATTTTAGTCCCCGTGAGCACATCAGAGCACGTGTCTTTAAACTGGGACACAGTAGCCTTTCTTTAACCCCTGCTGCCGTGCGGCCTGCAGCGCTACAGTGCAGGCGGACGGCGCTGATGTGTGCAGAGGTGCACGAAACATTTGATACAGAGCAGCAGCCCTCTGACTGAGCTGACAAACATTGCTCTACTGTCCTTAAAGATGATTTTGAAGAATTTAGTGCAGCAGTGTTGTCGTCTTTGATCATCTAGCATTAGACTGATGATGGATGAATGTTTTTTTTTAACCACCCACATCAGAAATGATTGAACTTCTGCACATTGTTAGCTGAATGTTTCAGTAGCTGTTATTTTTGTAATCCTGCATTAAAAATATGGGGCATTCTAAAAATGCTCATTTCCATTGCATTTTAAGGCTTTAAAAAGACTGAATCCTTTTATTTTTACCCCTTTGGAATCATCTGAAAGCTGTGATCTTCGAAAAATTGATAATCAGAAAAATCCAAAGTCAACTCCCCCCCCCCCCTCTTGTTGTCTGCTGAACCACTGGCCCTCATCCGATCCCTGTTGTTCCTCTCAACACAGATGCTTGTGGCCTGTCGGATGTAGCTCATGTGGAAAGCCTCCAGGAGAAGTCCCAATGCGCCCTGGAGGAGTACGTAAGGAGTCAATATCCCAACCAGCCCAACAGATTCGGAAAGCTGCTGCTTCGCCTGCCCTCCCTGCGCACCGTCTCCTCCTCGGTCATTGAGCAGCTCTTCTTCGTGCGCCTGGTGGGGAAGACCCCCATTGAAACTTTGATAAGGGACATGCTGCTTTCTGGCAGCAGCTTCAGCTGGCCTTACATGCCCATCCAGTAGAGGAAGACACAGAAAGGCAGCAGTGGAACTGAGGGTTACATCTTCAACTAGGAGGTTTGGGGTTTATTCTCCATGTAACCTAGAGATCTCTGCAAGAGGATTGAGATTAATACAGGTGATAAGTTCATGTAATTTTACTAAATGATATCAGTGGTCTGCCTTATTAAAAAAAAGGGTCCTGAAAGAAACGAAGAACGTGAAATTATTTGAAATCACAGGCAGAATATAAACCAGACTCGACCCAAAAGGACTGCTTATTTTGGAGATTTTTTTTTTCTTATTGTCGTTATGATGACCTCTTGCAGCATATGGACGCTCTATGATTTCCTTGAAATAACAAACGATATTTATTGGACTTGTGTGTATATTTATCGTGCTTGTAAATTATGTTTTCGGATCCGTTCCTTTCTGAATGTTATATGTATCGTTTTGCCCACAGTCGATGAGAAAACTGCAGGGAGCCTCTTGTGCGTGTTAATCTCTTTTATCCTGTTTTTTTTTTCTTTATTGTCTATGTTCTTGTTGATTTCATACTTTCCAGAAAAAAAGCACTTTGGAGTAAATGAAAATATTAACAGCAGGTGTTTTGAAACCGATTCCTTCCCTGCTTCCATACTACAGCTCTGGTTTGATATTATGAATTTGTATTTTTATTTTTAAGAAAATCCAACGCCAAGTATTGCATTTCTTGTAGTTTTATTTCTTTTTTTTACAGAAACTGCTCTGTTTTCTTTTTTACAAAAATAATCTCACACTTTAATTTATCCATTTTGATTTAAAAAAATGTATTTTTTTGTACCACACTGTGCAGATATGACTTTATTTACCTTCTAGAATGATCTTAAAACCTCCAGATTCGTTGGATTTTACAGATTTTGTTCAGTTTACAACTCTTTGTTTGAGACGCTAAAGCTAAAGATGGGGATGCGGGGAGAGGCTGACTTTCAGGCAGCTGTGTAATGCTTTTGTACGGGCTTCATATTTAGACCTTGCATCCCGTCGTAGTTCGTTTCACACTCAGACAAGCAATGAAAGCAGGAGATTATTGATGATTACATTACCAAATAATATAGTTTCCAGGAATGTTTTTTAAATAATTTTATTTCTGTATTGGCTGTCTCAGAGATTTTTGAAGAGCACTTGGTTTGTGCACACACCTTATCAGGCCGACACTAAAAGACTTGATGGGAAGTCATGCTTTTACATGAGTCACTCACTTGCACAACCTGACCACTGCAGGGTACACTGCTCCTTTCAGAGGGTACGAATGTGTGTGTTTCCTTGTGTTTGCTTCTATTTTTTTTTTTGCTGTTTATTTGTTTTTTTTGACAACCACTCTAATGTACTGTGAAAGTTAACATATTGGTACCTTATTAAATTATAACTCAAGATTTATACATAAAGCCTACTTTGTTTATTTCACTTTGTGTTGATCTGATCATGTTTATGAGGGCAGCCTCTGCCAAGTAGCTCATAATATTCCTAGACATATTGTGACTTCCACCTTAAGAGTTAATACCTGTTTTCACAGAATCTTTCAAATATTTCCTGGATCCAGACGGTGATTCGCATCATCACCACATTTTAATGGAGTGGTCCTTGGACTGTGGTGAACCTTTGGTAAAAAAAAAAAAAAGAAAGAACAAATCATTAAAGTACGTTCATAACTTCAAATTATCCTGTATCCTACACAGACAGACAGACAGAGACACAAACTCCCCAAAACATGACCTCCTTGGCGGAGGTAAAAAGGGGAGGGGGCTGTTCTGGAGCCAGTTCATGTCTGTAATTTTGGCCCTTCGTTGGAGGTTTTAGTCAAACTAATTTATCCCACTGACAGTGACAGCTGCAGTTTGATGTCATGATGTGCAGATCCTCTGCAGGAGACTGAGTGACCAACATTAAAGTGGCTTTTATCAGGCTCTCATTTGCAGTCTGATAATACACTCATTAAAATGTCATTCGTTTTATATAAAAATAGCTAATATTTGACATTAAATATTTAAAATGTTATACGTCGCTTAAATTAGCAAGTTAATACATCTTTAAATCACTTTTTCAGCAATAAAAATATTTTTTGTCATTTCTTAGCTGCAAGTAATTGCAGCTGCATGGATTTATACAGTTTACATGAACACATCTGCATTTTTATCATTTCCTCCACAATAAAAAGAAAAATATGGGCCCTATATCTTTTTCTTTGTGGGGAAATTTCTCTCTCTCTCTCTCTCTCTCTCTCTCTCTCTCTCTCTCTCTCTCTCTCTCTCTCTCTCTCTATATATATATATATATATATATATATATATATATATATATATATATATATATATATATATATATATATATATATATATATATATATATATATATATATATATATATATATATATATATATATATATATATATAATGGAGATGTAGAGAAACTTTGGAGAAAAAAAAGAGTAAAACCATCTTCGTGTCTGCGGTGGCAGATTGAAGAAGACAGAGAGGATTAAGGCAGTTTCTTTCCTTCGTAGTGGACAGAGAGCTAATGAGGGGCCCCTGACTGCTCTGTCACTACCGTTTACCCGCAGGAGGATGAAGCCGGCCGCTCCACGGCCCCTGGCTGCTCTGGGCCAAAAGGCCAACATGAAACAATGGAGCATTTTTCCCACACACCTACAGGTCCGATATAAACCATCTGAAGAGGGAGCGGAGCTGGACGGAGCAACCAGAGAGCAGGAGCCGCTCTGCTCACTGAGCGGGGACTAATGGATCAATCACCGACACACATTTCCAGTTTAAAAAAACCGCCGACAATTATGCTGTTTCAGAAAATAAGCAGTAAATAATGCCGACCGTTTAAAAGTTTTAATATTAATGAAAACTGTTATTCTTTGCAGGCAAATGAAGATACGCTTTACGTAACATTTGGTTTATTTTGCTTTCCAAGAATTACGGCGCATTTTACTTCCTTGTTTTTCACAAAAACTGCAATTTAATTTATTTAGATCAATACATTATTTCGATTATTTTCTCTCTATTAAGTTTTCATATAAACCCAGTTCAGGTCCAGGCTGCAGGCGGAACACAAATGTTCAGTGTTGGATGCTGCAAAGTTTATTTTATTTATTAAATTCCACTGTTAGACTGGAGCCCAGTGGTGTTTAATCTTTAATTATTATAGGCTACAAAAGAATTTCTGGTGCTTTAAATGACTTTTTAAGATTTGTGTAAATCTAAAAATAAAATAAAAGTGAAAAGATAAACTGCCGACACATAAATTAATCTTTTAAATCTACCAAATCTACGACTTCCCTCCATTTGTGTCTCAGCGATTAAACAATAAAAGTATACATTTATTTTTTAACATTAAAAACAAATTAATTTTAATGAAAAAAAAAAGATTCACTGGTTCTGCTAAATAATTAAACTGTAAGCAAACTGTAGTATGGGTGAAAGCCCAAATTAAAAAAATGAAATTTTAATTTAAAAAGTAGAGCAGATGCAAATACGCCAACATTATGAAGAAACTGCGAGTGAATATTTCTGATATTTATTATTTTTTTTCCAACTCTCAGCAATGTTGTTTAAATCCTCTGAAATACAGAAAAAGTGCGCAATAACTTTAAAAGACAAACAAAACAAACGATGAATGTTCAAAGATTAAAAGCCAAAGAATATAACTTCTGTTTTTTTTTATTTGCAACTCTAATTAAATATAAATTTATGTTTTATGTGATATTATGATCCTGGGGAGACTAGAGAATTAGAGGGGTCCAAATAAAAGGAAAAACTCTCCACAAGTTAATGATTTAAAAACGCTTTAATAGCAATTTTCCTGAAATGTTCCAGTAAACATCCTGTGTTTTTTTTCTCCATTTTCTTACTCTACTTTCTTCTTAGTTGTGCCAAAACAAGAAAAAAAAAATCACTTTAGATAAAACTAGGTCTTTGATTAATCTCTCTCTCACTTTCTCTATCTTTAACTATATATATATATAAATATATATAAATATATATATATATATAAAACCTTTAATGAGGCCTTTTTTTTCTGGCAACAACCATGGCCATAAGTATCCTTATCCACTTTGTGGGGAGCGGGTGGGGGGGTTACAGCAAACTGCAGTATGAGTGAAAGCCCAAATTAAAAAATAAAGAATATTCCAAATAAACATTTTCAAAAATGTTTTAAAATAACAATAATAATATCAACAAAAATGAATTTTCGTCCTTCTGGCTACATATCAGTGCAACCAAATATTTCTTCTGGTTTAGTTTTACTGGAACATCTGAATACACCAGTTAAATTATGTTGTCTTAAAAAAAAAGCAATAAAAGCCTCATCATTCCCTAAACTTTATTTTATACCATATTGTTTTGTTTTTCTGTATTTGAAACCTGATATATTTGTGGCTTATTGAATAAAAACATTGACTCTGACACCAACAGTCCAACCGATATTTGTTCTTTAAAGTCTGTTCCTGTGAATAAGGCGTGGCAAGGTCAGTTTATTGGTATAATCCATTTCAGTAAAGGAATAATTCAAAGTGCTTTACATGATAAGTAAGAAGCAAAAAATAAGGTTTCATTGAATGGATGTTAATCTGCAGGTCTACAGGTGAACCAGAAGGACTTATTATACCTAGAACAGACTTTATTTGTCCTTTTTAGAACCAGAGAATCAGGGTCACAGTGAATAATCACTCAATAGATGTGAAAGATTAGAAACATTTCTATGAAAATGAGAGTCATATTAATTTCCAGTTTGGAAATTCATTACATCCATAATGTTTCTGCAGAGATCATCCAAACCTGGTGCTGGTGGACGGACACATAAAGTCCCCTGGTGTATTTCTTTTCCTTGTCCACCCATCGCCCCTATAATCACATCCTCTGTCTCAGACAGTTACCCTTCCACTCGTCTAGCTTCTCAGCAGCCTTGAACCTCTTGAGGTTCTCCCAGACTGCTTCAGGGACCTATGACCTTCCTGCCCCTTCACCTGACACCAGCTAAGATAAACAGGGAACACGTCATCAGGCACC